AATTGTTTCCATGGTGTATGAAAAATTGCATCTTGGTTGAGTTCAAGATCTAACAAACAAATTCAAGAAATTTCACAACATTAATTATTTTGCAAATGGTTTTCGTCAAATTTTTCTCATTAAAAATATAATTTAAGATGTGTATTATCCTTTCATTTGAACATCATGACATGATTTTCCAGTAAATAATTTAAGTCAGGGGGTCCAACTTCAAAAGCCTCAAGGGACACAACTAAAACTTTTCATGTGATTGCGGGTCATATTTTCATTAACGGGAGGGAGGGAGGGCAGGCATGATATCAGGCAGTACCATGCATAATGCAGTGAAACACATTGGGATTGTTTTGAATTTCTGAATTTACTAAAAAAAAAGTTCTTAGATTTAAAATTAACCTATTTATACATTAAAAGGGGTTTTTGAACCTGGCAAGGACACATATACTAGGTGCATAATGTTCTCGTCTGTCATAGATTTAAGGGGCTTTCACATTTGACTAATAACCTAAAAACGTTAACAGAATTTCATTCTAGACAATGGCTGAGTGCTATTTTTTATAACCGATTTACTTTTTAAAGTACTTATTTCCTATGTTAGGGTTTAGAAGTTCTAGTAATGCACAATTTTGTTTTTTAAATAGTTCATGAATTAACTTGTACCAACCTCGAAGGCTACAATCACTCAGAAGAGACATATTACTGGACTGCAGTTCAGCCGTCTGCAGAAGAGCCAGTACTGTACGTTCTAAATGTGAAGTTTTTTGCAGCAACTGAGGAAGTCTTCCTGAGCCAATTAGTGTTAAGTATTGCTTCAGCAGCCGTAAAACTGCCAATTTCTCACTGTCAGCTAATGTCAAAAAATACAACTGAAAAATACAACTTGAAATCTGACAAATGTTCAATGAATTCTTTTAATAAGAACTATTCTCCTGTCTGATGTACTCAACCTAAAGTCACCACATTTAACTTAGTTATCCAATAAATACTTTACAAAGAAATATTTCAAATAGATTTCTTAATGTCTGTTGTGATGACAATGCATTGCAATTGCAATTACAGAGAATTACAGAGTACAATTAATAAATTTATACAGCATTTACGGAAAAAATAATTTTAATAATATTAGTACATGATCCAATAAATATTGGTACACGCACAAAATAATTTAGGTGCAATTTTGGTTTACATATACTAGAAATAAGCCACAAAAGGTATTTTTCAATTTACATTAGTAATCCATTAGTTTGATTGGAATACCAAACATGAATTCAATGGCTTAGCTTGTTAATAATTGAATCAACAAATGTGAAAGTTTGTACAATTGATATGACATACATATTATATGCACTACATCAGCATGCACAACACTCAACTTCGATATACAAGTACTGAGTCTCTAATTTATCTCTTTTGTGTTACCAACCCTTTTTCAAGTTCTTTATTGAATACAAAATTTCTTTTATCAAAATTTTCACGAGCGCATATATATTGAAACTCAAAAAAGGTTATAAAGAATCAATAACCTAAACCCACATATAGATAACGATTCATTCCTTACATACAATTTTGATTGTTATTTTAAATGATCTCGGAACTGAACCTCACATCTTTCAAATCAAATGTACCTGTAAGAAATTAAAGTTACACTGAATGATATTAACTTTTCTTACATTCTACGTGTATAATCCGAGGTAATTTGGTCACCAAACCATAAAAATTTTCCTCCAAGATTTCATAAAACGATATCCCATCTTCTTCTTCAAGTTTTTGAGTAAGACTTTTGATAGCTGCTTGACTAGTTGAGGCCACTTGATCTACATCATCATCTGATAATTTGAGAAGTATTTCCACAAAAATAACAGATGTATCTTTGAGATGTTGCTGACATTTATCTAAAATAGAATAACAGGATTCTGCTAACTCATGTCTCACTTTCCAATGACTGTGATTCTGTAATGGTCTCAGAGATTCAGACATTTTAAGAACATTTTCTGCCACCCCTTTGGCCCACTCTAATGTTCGCTGTTGACTTTGTATTGTTTTTATTATTGTCTCTGTTTCTTTTTCATTTTCAGATTGGTTTTCTTCACTTTTTGTTTTAGCATCAGATATTACAGTTACTTTTGCAGAAAAATGCATTTTTGTTTTAGTTTTTGCAATAATTATGTCTTCCAAAACTAATACCAAAATTCTGCTCCATGCTCGTAAAGCTGTCTGGAAATAAACAACAAGAGAGAGAGAGAGAGAATACATATAATTTTTGTTACTCGATATAAATATACCTAGGTAGATTTGTAAAATTATTTCCAATTCACTAATTTAAAAAAAAAAAAAGTTTACATGTCTAATAATTTTACCTTTTAAACAATTATTACCTACCTTGGTGACTAAATGACCTTGCTTTTCATCACCAATGACAACTTTATGCAATCCAGTTAATACACCTGGTACAATAAACATAATCATATCTGCTATGGAAGGCCTCCATACTTCAATGTATCTTTCCTGGTCGTCAATTTGGGTAATTGCCATTATAAATTCTATTGCTGCAATTCTAAACAAAAATGTCATTTCTGTTATAGTTATGGTTTATTATTATTATTATTGTTATTATTATTATTATTATTATTAATAATAATATAATAATGTTTTCTAGAGATATATAAAAAGTGTTTTAGTTTCAATCAATTTCAATTACCTCAATAAAATGTTATTTTCAAGAGTAAATATTTCATGACCATTGTGATTACTGTCAAGAGCATGCAGTTTCACAGTAATATGGAGTAACAGTAAATTGTCTATAACTAGTGGTGTTACAACTTAGCAAGGACTTTCATGTTTTATTTGTATCACTCACCTAAAATGATTTTATATATTGATGCAAATAATATACTTCTAATATTTCGGCTCTGTTGGGCAACACTCTCACTCAACAGCTTGAAATACAGCAAATCACATAATGTGAATTTTCTATTATCTTCTAAAACCAACTTTAAGAAAAATTGAACTTTTTGTTGCCTATTAGGCACACAGTGCGTGTAGCAATGCCTTATTTGTATATCTCAAGGAATTTTAACACCATTTGTAACATAGCAAACAATGCTGGAAAGTTCCTTTAGCTTTAAAAATGTTCATTCTCACTCTCATTACTATACAAATTTCTCGAAAGTAGCTAATCCTACAAAAAATCCTATTAAATATAATATTTTCAGACTTTTTCAATTAACTTGGTTTAGTTTTTTTGTAACATTTATATCAGAAATATTTGGTTTAACAAAGAACATGTAAATTTTGTCACATTTTCTCAATGACATGCCATTTTTGGTTGACACATTTTAGATTTCTAGGAACTTCATTACATACCATATAGAGGTTATGTGCTCACAAAAGTATCATATTATGAAATATTTTTCTAATGTAAAGGTCAGTTAACAAGTTGAAATGAAAATGGTGTTTGAGTCAAAAGAATTTGGTGCATTATACTCCATCCTTTCAAAAAACCGTTTAAGAGAAAGATTAGAGTAATTTTTTAAGAAAATCTTGAATTTTTTTGACAATTGTTATGATTTTACTCAAAAGTATGTAGATACTACTATTGTTTTTAAAAAAGTTTTATAGAACATCATTTAAAGATATAATTTTGGAGAATACATTTCATTACAAAAATCTCTTAACTCCAATTCTGTGGTTGAAGGAGGCAGTCCCCAAAAAATTGAATTTTTGCAATTTTAAGGTTGTGAATGAAAATTGGACCTGTACTGTATATTATAACATACATTGAAACAAAAATTTAAGAAAAAATTTGGAGCCATTTTCAGAAAAGTTTGAAAATATTATAGAGGCTTCAAGTATATAGTACCTCCCAAAACATACAAGATTATGCAAGGCCAGGACCCTGCGTATCCAGGTGTACTTAAAAATGAATATTTTGGAAAAAATACTGTGAACTGTTGTGAAATATTGTGAACTGTTTAGGTGCTAATTTGTCGGTAGATGACAGAGTTGTTTAGTAAAAATACTTTCTAGTTGTAAAGATCTCTTTATCAGTTACTTGAGAACTTGTGAAAAGTTAATGGTTAAATTTAAAATGCTACAAAACTATGGAATCTAAAATTGTTATTTAATCAATACCAAATACAACAGTTGAACAGTTTCAGAACAGATTTCCATTACATATCAATTATTGATAGGTCTAATACTAATGTGAGTGCATCATCACCCACCATTATTTTTGTAGTTGAAATGGATCAATATCCACTGTACAAAACACAACCTTATGCCTTTTGTTTATATGTATCAGTGAAAATTCAGTGTCAGGCCTGGCTACTCCAGCAAAAAAAACTTCCAGTAAATAGTCCAGCAATTTACATAAACATTATTTTCTGGTGTCCTCTGAAAAATGTTTATTGGTCATCTAGGAAAGCAGATGAAAATGTAAATACTGTGATTCTAGGTACAGTTCAAAATCTGATTTATTTGCTAATTTTCTCATGTATTGCCTTTTAAATGCTATATCTTTAAAAATACACATTTCATATAAAAAAAACTCATATCACATCAACAGTGGACCTACAGTACACCCTGCCCATTCTTATCTGCTTTGTCGTTGTTTAAGGAAAATTCATTTTCATTTTGATTGAATGTATTATATAGAAAATTTGATTGTATAATGAAAATATTTTTAAAGCAGCAGTTTATACATATTTCTGTTTGAAACTTGCATATTTTTAATAATTAACCCATTATATAACATCTCTGTTTTCTTGAATTCCAGAATTATAACAAGCATGTGATGAACCACAAACTGTTCATGAAAGTTTGTTACCTTAATGGTCTCAGTTTTTCATTTTGCATGATATGTACACAAACAAAAATTCCCTGGCTTATTCTTGGTACATTATTCTTGTTGTAAATTTGTCTAATTACATCATCAGTGCATTTCTGAGTTATTTTTGTGACACACTGAATAACACTAAGCTTTAATTCTTCAGAAACATTTGCAACTGGAAGGAAACAAAACAAAACAAAAAATTTGTTGAAACAGAACAAAAAATATTGATACTAAAAATAATATATACTTATTAAATCAACTTACCCATAGATGAAGAATCTTTATCAAATAACTGAATAAATAGCAATGTGTACAAATTTAGATACTTTTTCAAGCTATTTACTTCAGTACACAATATGAGTTGTTTGATGCAATCAACAATGTGTCTTCTAGTTTCAGAACTGAGACAAATTTATGAATATTATTAATATTTTTTAAGCAATTACTATTGAACTTCGTTCATAGCAATTATGTACCCAATTCACCTGACATAAGGACGTTGAAGATTGAGCTCCAATGGATACAATACATAATCTTGGAGTTGCAGAAGTGTCTTAATGGGAATTTGACCAAATGTTTCTGTCAAATCTTGAAGACACTTTTTGGTTGGATGTTTGACAACTTCATCACAAACTGGTTTAAGCAAAGCAAATGCACTGTTGCAATGCATGTTGTTTTTAAACTTAGAAAGGCAACGGGTTTGTACGAATAAATACCAACATTCATGTTACTCTGAATCAAGAACTATCGAATGCAACATAACCTACTTCGAATTGCCTCCATAGACGTTTTTGCACAGCGCAGCACTCTGGCAGCACTGGCCAGGCACTGGCGCCTCATGGTGCAACCTCACCTCCAAACGTCGGTTTGGTTTTCCTTTCGGCCAACAGTTGGTATTACTTTGTCCCAGTTCCTGGTGACCTATATTTAAACTTCTATTTGTATGAAAAAAAAAAAATACTTATTGAATATATTACCGCTGGAAATTCTGAGTAATAATGTAATTATTTTTTGCACTGACGTTATACGTTCATTTTCAGGTAATAATGTAATTCCCACAAATAAAAAAAGGTGCCGAGTGTCAAATGCCTCGCGACAGGGGGTGCAAGGTCGCATTTCCCTCAGCATCTCTTGAATGATTGAGGTAGAATTGGTACGGGGTTGATTTGAGAGATTGATAGTGTTTGACGGTGGTAGGGCGTGTAAGATATAGTGTGGTATAGTGGGAAAGAGTAACTAATGTTTCAGTAGACAAAATTGTCTAGTTATAGTCTTGGTGACATAGATTTGTGAAATTTGTTGCTTGGACAGACGGCGTCGTGAAACACCTGCAGTGCTGCTCACGATTTAATTAAGTGTGGAAGTGGTTGAGTAATTGATTTTTTTCTGTACGTGCCCTGTTGATTTGTTAAAACTCATGGCTCGAAAAGGCGTGAAGGTGCTTTTAGGTTTTGAAGACGAGTGCATAACTGAAAAACATAAGTCCCTAGTGAATTTTACCACAAACAAGATAGGAGGCAAACCGGTAAGCGAATTGTATCGTTTTTCCCTAATTCTCTTTCAAAGTTCATAATACATTAACGACTCGCATTAAATACATGCAAAATAATACCAGTATAAAAATTTTTGTTATTTTAAAGGATTGGCCAGCCGATGGAATTTCAGCTCCCATCTGTAAATTGTGTGGATTGTCTCTGCCCCTTGTCGTTCAGATTTATGCCCCCTTAGAAAATAATCCTCATCACAGAACATTGTATTTGTTTGGTTGTGTCAATCCCAATTGCTGGAATCAGAATGATAGGTACGTACAATATATATAAAAACATAGAAATATTTTTTTTATTTGGTCGTGTATTATTGAAGTGCTCATTTTTCTACAGTTGGACATGCATTCGCAGCCAAACATTAGAGGCTAAGAGTGACCATGAAGATTCTTCAGGAACTGTTAATACTTTATCTGCAACAGACTGGTGCTGTGATGCTGATGACTGGGATGATGACAATAATGTAAACAATAATGAAGAAAATGGCAATATTATAAAGGCTCATGAAACAAGTTCAGAAAGACTATCTGAAGATGATGATGAAGAAGAAACAGAAAGTTATGAAGATGACATAAGAGTGCAACTGGGCCAACTTAATGTGAATGAGTGCAATGCCAATTGGGATGAGGGTGGTGGAGGTGGTGGTGGCGGCCGGGGAGTTGCAGGAGCCCAAGAAGGGGGAGCAGTGGGACGATTGCATTCACCTTCTGCCACAGCAGAAATAGAAGGTGAAGAAAGTGAGATTGTAAGCATTGACACTCCTACTGCTCCTCAACATAATCTTATTGCTCTTCTTCAAGAAGTGGCCCCTATGCCCTCTGAAATAAGTGGAATTTGCAATGGTGGCTCTCCCCAGTTTTCATCATCATTTATCAGTGTTGGAGAAGAGGAGATAGCTGGTGCTTCAGCAACTGTTACTCCTCTTTCAGAGCATGTGAGAGATTTGTTACAAGAGTACCAACAGAATAGTAACGATGATGGAAGCCCACATCACAGTCCTGAACATGAAAAAGAGCCAGGAGACCAACTAATGGCTGAGAAATATGAAAAAAGTGTTCCAGCTCATGGTGACAAAATGTTTCATCACTTTGTTAGTAAAATTCAACAGTGCGCTGGGCAGATATTGCGGTAAGGATGACAATAGATTTTACTTTAATTGGTTACAACGATACTGCAAAGTTCTTGGTAAAGTAATCACCAGCAAGCAGAAAATGATGTGATCATAAATGTTTTCTACCATATATATGCATTTGTACTACTTCTTTACTTTGTTTCCTGCTTAAATTTACTGTATTGCTCAGTACCATTGGCATATTATTTCTCTCATTAAATTAATAATGTAAATCAGAGAAACTATTTTAGTTGCCCTTTTTGAAAATAATTTTTCATTCAATCTTGTTTTTTCTGTCTAAGTGGTTTTAAGAAGTGTAATTCTTTAAAAGAGCAACAACCATCTGAGTTGCATGAAGCAACAATCATCCTCAAAATACAATGCTTTTCAGTGATTTCTTTTTCTTTTTTCCGATAATCTTTGCCCCAGTAGGCCATTCCGTGTGATTACTTTTGATGAACTCTCCTTTTGCTGGTAGTGATAGCAGTAGAGCCAGAGTTGTGTTACTATTTTGTTAGTAATATAAAAAAAATTAAATCTGCACTTTGTTTACTGATGCTAGTAAGTGAAAATGTCTAGTTTTTAAATTTTGCTAACCCTGCTTTTTTGGGAAACTTTAAATCATTATTCAACTATTTGTAGTTAAAATGTTGGGAAGAGATACCGGAGCTCAAGAAAACAATGTACTGATGATACTTCTACCCCATACTTCACGTACCCTTTTTACTGTTCTTTGGCTAAATTCTGGTACTGCTGTAACCGCAATGTATTTTTGATATAATAGAAAGTAAAGGTAACCCAAAACAACTCTCAGTCCATTCTCATGTACATATATAGTATTTATATCCATTTTTTTATTACCAGTTGTTACTTATTTATCAAAAAGAGCCATTATCTTTGTGCTGAGATTTGGGATTTTGAATAATTTACTAAAGAAAATTTAAGAACTTCACCTGTACATTCTGGTGTATTTTGTGACTCATTAATAGGGATTGGATTTCTATGATTTTGCATATTTTTGTCAGTTGCATAGCTAAGTGAGATTTCTTGACATTTGGTTAGAATATGATGCTCTATAGATTAATATGTTAGTGCATATTTGGCAGATTTTTCTGCTTGGTGCATATTCATGTATTTATAGACACATATTTTGTAAAAATAGTCTTATCTATGAAACATTTCATCTGTTCATGGAATGTATTTATTTGTGAGTGTTCATTGACTCAAAAACGCTTGTCACAGTTTTTTTGTTTTTTGTTTTTTTTTCTTTATAGATGATAAAATACTTTTTGCAAATGTAGAATATAGATAGAAATGTAGTTCTTGAGAACATATTTTTTAAGATGGTCAAAAGAAATATGCATGGCACTGCTAAAGTTTCCTGGAAAGTAGGTTTAAAGAAGAGGAAACTGATTCTTACCTTTCTATTTTCTTGAAGTATTCCCTCCATCATCGATACAGCAGGCCATCTGACACCAATTTTGAAATGCTGCATATCATTGTTCTTTCGGAAGTTCTGTTTGAAATGCTTCGCAGCTTGAAGCTGCTACTGCATGTTTTGGGTTCTCAAACTGGTGTCCTCCGATTGTTTCTTTAGCTCTTGGAAATAAAAAGAAGTTGCAGGGGCCATGTCTAAACCGAAGGGGGGGGGGAGTAGAAGTCTGCCATGATTCTCTGATAAAAGCTCTTTGGTTTTTTGAGCTGGTGTGTTATTATGCAAAAGCAGACCACACACACCTCTCTTTGGTTGTCTCAATTTTACCAGTGTACTGTCACCATTTTCTTTCCAATGCTCCATGATCTCATGGTCTTTATTGGTGCTTTCTCATCAGGGAAGATCCTGATCGTTGATTGGTTTCGGGGGCAAATTGGTATATCAAAGATTCCTCTCCAGTTTCAATATCAAAAATTTTCTTTGCATGACCTTCAAACATTTGCTACATTTCTTTCCCAAGAAAACGATGTGGGATTCGTTGGCTGCAGACCTTCGTGACACCAAGGTTTTCATGCAAAATTCGTGACACTGTGGAGGAACAAATCCCAAGGAGAGCCAAGGTCTGCTGTATCTGCTGGTAAGTGCAGCATGGGTCATCTTTCAACATCTGCACTGACAGGAAGTTTTCTTCCCTTGTTGCTGTCCCTTGCAAGGCTCATCTTAAAGTGACTTTCTCCCGCACTGAAATTCTGAATACCATTCATAAACAGTCAGTTTTGCTGGGGAAGAATCACTGTGTCACTCTTCAACTGTTTAAGACATTCTTTAACACTTAGGCCAACTGTAAAATCATAAAAAAATCATTGCCGGGAAGTGCTTTCTAGATAGATCCATCACGTATCAGGCAAACACACTACTGCCTGCATTAAATGAGTCAACAATAAGAAATCAGTCAAGAAGACATTCAATGTACTTCACTAAGGTGAATATTTTCTTTAATTATTTATCTCGTGAAGTCGGGTAGATTATATTATGTTTGCACAAAAATATATCGTTCCATTCCAAGCATGCTTCTTCTGAATTTTATCAAGAAAGGTTTATAGAGTAAATGAAATGTCGTTAATTTTAATTGCATATTAAAGTGCATATCTCAGAACTTTGACATCATAAATGCATGTATTAAAAGCATATTTCAAGATATTTTAAGACATAATATTTCTCTCCCTACTCATTAATCACGTCTGGTGCAATTCATTTCAACAACACAAAGCAATGGCTTGAGTGGAGAAAAACCAGTTTCACTTTTCAAATTTCTGTGAAATAAAAAATCTGAATTAATTTTTATTCAGTTCTTTGTATTTTTGTATAGATTTTAGCTACATTTATCAGATGTTTTCGAAAGCCTCTTCTATCCATTTTGGCTCATAATATTCTCCTGTTTATTTAGTCAAAGGCTTTTTGAAATCAATGAATGCAATGTGTGTGTCTAAATTAAACTTCTTTTCTCTGTTATTTGATTGAATATAAACACAATATCTGTGCAGAATCTTCCCTTTCTGAAGCCATTTTGATCTTCTAATAATATAACTTCAGCTATCTTCTTAATCATCTTTTGGATCATTTTACTTTGATATAATTTTTTGGGTTTTAGGGCTAATGCCTCTGTAATTTGCACAGCAATTGTGATCCCCTTTTTCAATCATATATATTATTAGTGCTCTTTGCCATTTTTCTGGTATTGTACTTCTTTGCCAACATTGATTGTATAGGTGTAATATTTATTTGTTTAGGGGATATTCCCTTTAATACGTGTAATTATAATACGGGAGTATGAGATACACATTTGTTAATGAAGTCACAAAGAGTAAATTTAGGAATAATATCTAATTACAAATCAGGTGGTTTCGTAGAGCATAGTATGTTCACAGCTTAAGTAATGTTGAAAAAAATCAATTTGTATACAATACTTGAAGCAGTAGAGGCAATACGGTAGAAGGTATCATTCATTTGATAGTCAGTTTTCATACTTTTGACAGCAAATAATAAAGGGTTACATGTCATTACGTGAGAGACTTGAAATCCGATATTAGGGAGAAAATGGTTACAATTAATTTCACCTGACAAAATTTTACATAGAAATATAAGATTACATTCTTCTATTCTGAAGATGAGGATAAGATGAATAATCCTAAATGGAGAAAAATGCTTCCATATTTTATTAATTCTACATTTATGTTATCTATAGCTGTAGCTTCTCTACATTTCATTTCTTTTAATATTTGTAATAATTCGTCTATTGGTAGCTCATCATTTTTGATGTGACCATCACAAATTTTTGTGAAATAATAAACATATGTTATTTTTGTAGTGTGTATATGATAATATATAAAAAATTTTAAAGTAATTACACAATTCTAACAAATAAATATTTAAATCAATTTTTCGCAATAAAGGTAGGTAACAAATGGAAACTAATGGCCTTTTGGAGGGTATGGTCATGCCCCCCTCTGCCCCCTCCCTCTAGATCTGTCACTGCTTTTAGCTTCATTTCTATCGCAGTTATATTCTTTCTTACTTTCTTCAGTAAGAGAAAATATTTCAAGTATGCTTTCTTTTTCTGTGCCACTGCTTTAAGTTGTTCATTGCATACTGAGTTCTTTCCTTTTTCCAAACTGTGCTTTCAGAAGCAGCTTTTTGTGTATAGGTTATAATATTTTCTCATTCTTTCTCTACTTTATCACTTGTTGGTATATTTGCTAAATAATTATCCATTGTCTGTTGATGTAGTTTTTTATTTTCACGTATAACTACATACATAAGGAGTAATATTTCACAGTATAGGGAAAGTTACATAATGCTGCAGAAAATCAATTTCGAGATTTCAACAGAAATACCTGTTTTGGAGTCATCTGATACAGAAAAAGTGGTTCTTTTCAAAATGTCCTTCTGTGAACACCATTTGTGCCTAAACAATACATAGGATTTTTTTCCAAATTGAGCAAACCCCTGTCCATCTGGCTTGAGTCAATGCTTTAAAATGTAGAAAAACTTTCTTTAAAATTTGGGGATACTTTACATGAAGTCCCTGGGACATTTTCAAAATTGTTTCTTAAAATTTCTTGTAAGAATAGAGTAAAATACACATAAAGATGGCATAAGTCCAATTTCCATCAAATTTCAAAAATTTGATTTTTTTTGGCATCTTCCTACAACTACAAAATTAAAGATAAAGATTGTTCCTTGAAATCAAATTTGTTGTCCATAATTAGTTCTTTTATTGTTTTGAAAATTTTAGTAGTTTTCACACAATATTGTGTGCAGTATGTGCATTATTAAAAATTGCAAAAACTAGATTTTCTCGAAATTGGCTCCAAATTTTTTCTTTAAACTTGTAGTAGAGATAGTGCTAATTGCACTCTACTAGATGACATAAATGCCATATTCTTCTATTTAATTTTTTTAAAAAATACAAAAAAATGCAATTTTTTTGAGTTGTCTCTCAAGTCGTTAATATTTACATTAGTGCCAATTTGTTAATTTTAATGTACTTATAAATATGTGATTTTAATAATTTTACATAAA